CGCGCGGCCATTTCGGGTGTTCCGGCGGCCATTTTTGACCCGCCGAACAGCTGATCCGCGGTCTCGCTGCGGCCGAAATGGCCGCGCGCAGCATTTTCGCACCCTCCCCTCGCTTACTGAGGGCGCGAAAATGGCTGCCGGACCCAGAAAACATCACTGTACGGTGAGTTTTCTGCCGATTTGGAACGCATTAAACGATGTTTAATGCGTTCCAAAATGGCTTTTTCTGATCCGTACAGCGATGTTTTCGCATAGCGAAGGTTAATCCGGAACAGATTAACCTCGCTATGCGAGGCACCACTGTAATTTGTTTTAATTGTAAACGGAATAGTGCTTTGGCACTAATAGGACAGTATATAAAAATCAAAGTAATAAGTAAATAATAAATAGTTATGTTGCTTACATAACTGTGCAAGAAGATTTCAGCCAGTGTTGCTTAGACTCATGCAGAAGGGTAGCAGTATTCAACTCACTTCTTCTGTTTGAATATTTTCCATATTATACACTGCATTTGGAACTCTCTTGCATAGGTTTCAAAAGTACTTGCCATATTCTCTTTCAAGGAAAAGCAAAGCCTTTTCAGCTCAGGCAACTAATACTATTCTTTGGATCCTGACCAGTGTTGTATCTGTGTTATTGATGCTTAGTTGTATTTATGCTGAATAGAATTATGGAACCATTATAAAGCACAAATAGATCAGCAATATTTAACATATGCAAAGTCTAGTTAATTTTGTGCTTGAAAATGAGGAAGAGATTGAGAATTAAAGTATGAGAAGCACTTCAGCAAACTTAATTTCACTTCTATTGCTGATTTTGAAATTCCACCCTTGAAATTGCATATTTTCACAGTTCATCCAAAAACTAATATCTTCATGAAATCTTCTTCCATCTGATTTAGAGTAATATTAGAGCTTTTTTGTATGAGCATTATTGTGAGAAGCAGCTGAGCATTACCTACCTTCTCATTTTTAAGGTGTAAATCTGAACTTCTTTGCACACAGCAGTATACTAGAGTGCATAGATATGTGGAGTAAATCCTAGTGGTAGTTCCAGCTGGAGAAGGTTCATTGGAAATGTACATGTGATGACTCAACAAGTCCCATTCATTTCCATTGTTCTGCTCTAGTTGGGTGTAGTCCTCTTTGTGTATCTATTCAGTGTTCTACATACGTAATTACAGTGGTGCCCCGCTTAACGATTACCCCGCTCCATGACGAATCCGCTTAACTATGAGGTTTTTGCGATTGCAAAATGATGTTTAAATGGGGAAAATCCACTTTATGATGATCGGTTCCCTGCTTCAGGAACCGATTCTTCGCATTACTATGGTTTTAAAACAACTGATTGGCGGGTCGCAAAATGGCTGCCTGCTGTGCAAAATGGCTCCCCACTGTGTTTTAGGACTAATTGCTCGCTTTATAGGCACTAGAAAATGGCCGCCCAATGGAGGATCTTTGCTGGACGGTGAGGTATTTCGCCCATTGGAATGCATTGAACGGTTTTCAGTGCATTTCAATGGGCTTTTTACTTTTGCTTGATGACGATTTCGTTCAACAGCGATTTTGCTGGAACTGATTATCATCGTCAAGCGAGGCACCACTGTATAGAGATACACAAACATTGGAGTGGTAGGAAGAGACAAAGGAAATAGTTGTATAATCCTGGGAGAAAGCAGGAGAAAAATCAATATAGCTGTTAGAAGGAGCAAAGATTTAAGAATTAGCAATGGATGCAATTTTTTTATTTCCCACAGTAGCAGCTGAATCAGTAGACAAGTCCATATAGGATTAATGGCTCCTGAACAAAGTTAGCAACTTGCACCACCCCATAGTGGGGTTGGAATCCAAGAGGAGAAAGCAGTTATCATTCTCTGCTTATGATATTTGAAAGCAGGCTGGCTGCTGTTGGGATGAAAATGTTGTTATGGATGTTTGTGGGTCTGATTCAGTGGCTGCTCTTGTGCTTTAGTTCAAGCTCAAACATCAGTTCACAGTAAGCCTGAAATGATCTGTTACAGAGTTTGTAAAGTTCAGTATTTGGATATGTGCTTGTATGTGGGGACTCCAGAGGCCCATCGTCTGCCAAAGACGGAGGACAGGATGGATTTAGAGAATAACAATATTTAGAAAAGCAGTCTGTTAAAAGGAACATTTCCAGCTTGGATATTAGTGGTCTTTAGCCCTTTTTCAGCTCTTCCAGATTCTCAGATATTTCAAAATGCTGTACCTAGAAATCTCTAGTTGGTTACACTTCCATTTGAAGAGAAGGAAAGGACTCCATGAGAAGCTGTATTCTGCTAACCAGCATTTACATTGCTCCACAATAAAAGTATGCAAATTTGAAAAATAAAGACAAATAGTTATATTCAGTCATGGCATGTGGTTTCTGAAATTGGAAAGTATTGTGATGTCATAACCACAATGGTATTGGTTAAGGACTAACTAAAAAAATACAAGTGCTTGTTTAGAAATGTGTACACAATGTGTATCTCAAACATTCTCAAATCAGCTTATAAAAGCTGGATACAAACAACTAAGAAAGCTGAAACAAACGTATTCAAATGGTAAAGGCTAACAAAGCAGCTGCTGGAATGATATACATGAACTGTAGATGAAATCTCAACAAATTAAGTGTTTGAATACCCAAGAAGGGATAAAACATCCCAAGGTGAGTACTTCAAAGGTCATCCTTTCACCAGAAAGATTTTTCTCAGTTACTACTTAACCTGCCTTTGATTAAAGAGACACCCAAAGAAGGGCTTCTTAGGATACCTTTAAATAGCAAGTAAGCTCATGTAGAAGCAAACTATTCTTATGACTGAGTGTCAAAGCTGTACGGAGAGCTCAAGCAGGGATTAGAAGCTTCTAAGGCTTCTATGGTGAACATTTTTACAATTCAGTGAACTCCTTGGTGTGTTCAGAATGGCATATCACACTTCCGGAAGCCTCTTGGAATATGATTTGCTATTTAAGGTCTGTTGTTTGATCAGAAGTATGAAATTAATCTGCAGAACCAGCATTGCTGCAAAGTCATTTTGCCTTAGCCACTAAAAGTCAGATAACCTAGTATTTCAAATTCTTCTCTGCAGTGTTGCTTAAATGCACTTCTGGTGTGATCCAGCTAGGGTCTCTTTATGTTCTTAGTATTATTAGCCAGTATAGGTCCTTTTTCTCCACAGATCAATTATAAATGGAGGCATCAACAGCATTTGAAACAATCCAGAGCCTTGTATCAAGTAACACCCGTGAAGATAACAGGGAGTAAGTGATTTTGCACTTCTGCACCGGCAGGTTTAGATTGGGTCGGGTATCTTTGACTTCAGAAAACAATGTTGTTTGGGTGGCTTAAACACTGGAAGCATGGGCAGAATACATGCTGTCTGAACATTTTGTTCTGTGGAAGTTTTAAAAGGAATTCACAAGCTTAAAGTTTAGCAGGTTGCCTGGACTTGGAATAAGGCATCAAGCAGTTCAATATTTGTTTCATATAGATGGAAACCACTTTTTAAAACAGAGACAGACAACCATCATAAATATTTGTTTTAGAGATGGGCATGAGTGCAGCTTCCCTAGACAACCTGGGACCAAAATGACAGCACTTAGAAAAAGTTCCTTTCTTCCCTGTGGAAATATCATTTTTTTTCTTGGGGTTGTTTGCTCTTGACAATAGTAGATTTTTTAAATGAAAGCAGAATTCAACTTTCGTCAGCAGTTAACATGCAGTGAAAGAAGTTACCAGGTGCTGCTCATGTAAATGTCTTTCAGCCTAAGACAAGTCACAGACCAGCATTTGCAGGTAAGAAGTCACCTACTGGTTGTAGTGGTGGTGGTGGTGGTGGCACTTTTTGAGCTTGCTTGTTATCTGATTTGCATCTTGCATTAGTTCAAATCTCTGTTGTATGAAAATATTCACTGTCAAAATTAGTATTTCAGTGGGATTAAATGTTTTCAACTAAGACGGGCAATGATTGAATGGCAGCCAGTGTGTTCCTTGCTTATTACAGGCTTCTCTTTTATATGGGATAAACAATGGCATCCATGTGAAACAGTGATCAAGCATTCTGCTTTTTGCTATCTGTCCTTGGAACACTGGAGCAAAACGAAAATGCACAAAAGCACAAATTATCACCAGGATAATTAGGAAATTCTTGTAATCTGTTAGTAATCTTTCTATGTTCAGGACTGTATACATGTCATCCTAAACCTGAATTCTAAAGTATGTAGTGAGTGTGTGAATTCAACTGCCTGGATTTTTAAAAAGTTCATTAGAATCTTTATGCCAAGTGTGTGAAGAAACAGATGGAAACCTGGAACCCCAGCAGTGACCAGTGTAGGTTCATGCCCTTTCCAGCAGGAGTGTACAATTTGTTTGACCCTCCAGATGGTAGACTCTAGTTCCCATTATTCCTCACTTTCTGCTAAGCTGTTTGGAGGTTGAGAGTTGCAGTTCCTATCTATAAATAGTGCAGCCCTTCTTTATTGTTTCTGTTTGTGTTTGTTTTTTAACTAGCACATAAACTACATGCTTTCTTTATAGTGACCATAGAATTCCAGTTGCTTTGCAGATTTCATTTTAAAAATAAAACAGAATATACCCATTTCTGATTCTTAATAGGGAGATGCTTGATTGAAAAAATTCACATAAGATTGCATTTTCTTTTTGCATATGGTCAGCTTGCTATGCTCAAAACTGTTCTTCACATAGCTGCTTTGCCAAGGGGGCTTAAATGCATGCTTAACTACTGGCACTTAATGCAGTCTTTGTCCACAGTGGTTTTCGTTTTACCTTAAAGGGGTAATGCTTGATACTGCATTTTCCCACTGCTAAGCAATGGCCAAGAATAGATCAGCAAGGCAAAAAAACCGCAGATTGCCCAGCCCTACCTTAATAAAAGGTAGTAATTTTTTAAATTAAAAAAAAACACCACTGGAAACATATGCTCTTCTGCCGTCCACCTAATTGGTTTAAAGCTTGACAGAGGTCAGTTTCTCACCTGAAATCTTTAGCATCTGAGATACAGCAATTTTGACTCTACCTCAGAACAGAGCAAAACCAGTGAACTCCTAAAATCAGTTGTGAAGTGGAGGCATATGACTGAAAAGGAGAATTAGGGCAGTCAGATCAGCGACAGTGCAAAGAAAATGGGTAGTTTTAATAACATGGAAATAAACAGTCCATCCCATCTCCACCGCATGCAGCAGAAACAGCGGTTAGTTGATGCAGTAAATACATTTTTATAAACAGATTTTACATTGAAATGAACTTTCTCCTAGACATTTTGGATTTTCCTCAGTGCAGGTCAAAATCCTTGTTGCATAGCTCCACCTGTACAATGGAAAGTGTGTCAGCAGCATTCTGGTTTTGGGGTAAATGTGAGTTGCAAGCAGTGAGACAAAGTCACACACATACCAAAGTGAAAGAGGAAATCTTTAATTAGTGGCACTGTTGTTTATCTTGCTATTCCTATTGTATAGGATACTTATTGTATGTTGTAAGCCACCTAGAGTGGTCGAAATGACTAGATAGGCAGGGTATAAATACTAATACTAATACTAATTATTATTATTATTATTATAAATATACAGAGAAACAAACAAGAACAACATTCAATTAAACAATTGCTTTATAAAATGGCAGTAATTTTGTTTTGTTCTTGAGTTGTTTTTTAATTAGATACGAATGTCTGAAAAACCTAAAACTTCCATGTAGAGTCTTATTCACTGGCATTAAGCATCCTCCCAACAATTTTAAAGGGGGGGCATGGAAGACATTCGCCTACATCTGGTGGACTATACTCCCCGTTCTTTGAAAGATACAGATTTTTGTCTGAACTCAATAACAGTGATCAATTCCAGTAAATATATCCTGGGATTTTTCCACATCTCCATGGAAACAATACAGGAATATGACATATTTAACCACTTTTTATCTACTGTAGTGCCTTGCAAGATGAAAATAATTCGTTCCGCAAGACCTGCCATCTTGCAAATTTTTCATCTTGCGAGGCGAGTTTTCCCATAGGAATGCATAGAAATTTAATTAATGCATTCCTATGGGGAATTTTTTTTAAAAAAAAGTCACCAGGTAGGGAGCTGAGGAAGCACCATCGAAGGACTGGCGGGGGTCCCCCGCAACAACGATCGGCGCTTTCAGAGTTTCCCCCGGCAGTCCTCCGATGGTGCTAGGCAAGCTTCTGAAGCCTTCCCCAGCACCATTTTTGAACTTCCCACCCTGTTCCCCTGCCTTTTTCTGTTTGGAGGCTTACCGAGCACCATCGGAGGCAAGCTTCCGAATGGAAAAAGGGCAGGAAATTCAAAAATGGTCCTGGACAAGCCTCCGAAGGATTCCCCTGCACCATTGGCGGACTGGCGGGGGTCCCCTGCAACCACGATCACTAGCTTTGGAAGCTTCTGAAGACTTCCTGAGCACCATTTTTAATTTCCTGCCCCTTTCCCCTGCCTTTTTCCATTCGGAGGCTTGTCTCTGATGGTGCTTGGCAAGCCTCCAAATGAAAAAAGGCAGGGAAAAAGGGCGGGAAGTTCAAAAATGGTTCTGGAGAAGGCTTGCCCAGCACCATTGGAGGATTGCCATGGGACCTCTGAAAGCGGCGATTGCGGTTGCAGGGGACCCCTGCCAATCCTCTAATGGTGCTTCCCCAGCTTCCTACCTGGTAAGTGACTTAGAAATCGTTTTTCCCATAGGAATGCATTAATTAAATTTCAATGCATTCCTTTGGGAAAACTTAAATTGCAAGACGAAAATATCTTTGTCTTGCGGGGCGCCCCAAAACTCGCAAGACGCTTTCATCTTGCGAGTGTTTCGTTGCCCAAGGCATTCGTCTTGTGAGGTACCACTGTAACTTGAAAATGATTTAGAATGAATTTGGTTTAATTTATATAAACTTCCTGAGAGACACACCATTGGCAGCAGTGTATATCTGTATATAATTCGATAATGAATCAGGTTTGTTTAGATAATGATAGTTTACAGTGGAAATGTTTTGCTCATCCTGTGAAACCCTGACATTTCAGCAGTGTCATAAGAGGAACCCAGAAAGATCCCCTTGGGGGTATTATGCTGCTGTGATGCAAGCTGCTTCTGTGATTCCGAAATAATGGGAACACCAAAACGATGACATCACCCAGGCCTGGAAAGACAAAGTGGTGAGTTAGCCTAATGGGTTGACTTACTTGGAGGGCATGACAATCCTCCTATTTTGGCACTGTGTGTGTTGGTGAGACCCAGAGGATCAGGGAAAAGTCTGCATAAATGGCCCAGATTGCTAGCTATAAGGACAGGGCAGGTGATTGGGGGGGGGAGACTCGTGAGGCATGAACCCTCTGCTACTGCCCAGAACCACCTGACCTTGATAGTGAGACTTGGAGTAGGTAACTTGTTTGCTTCCAGATGCTGGACTTTAGCCTCTATCAGCCCTCGCTGGCAGAGCCAAAGGTGAGGGGTAGTGGGATTTGCAGTCTATGACTTTGAGATGGCCAGAGTTTGCCTGCCCTGCTCAGCATTATATGGGAGGATACTTTCCATGTAGAAAATGTGCCTCCTTTGCTTTGGGTGCACCTCTTTTTTCCTCCCTCACTGGGACTATCAGGCAAGCTCCTTACGTTGCTAGTAATATTAGATAATGTCACATCTCCCAGTTTGGTTGTCTATTCATTCACTGGTGTGTTTAGCAAAATGTTGTGGGTATAATACCTGTGGTGAAGAACTGACTTAAATTCATAAACTTTGTTCTTATCTGCTTGTCTTGTAAGTGGCTGTTTCCCTTTAATAAACACTTTTCCAAAGTAAGTGTTCTGTGGTGTTTTCTCCAAGACTCTGCTTATTTCTGGTCACAGAACATTAGGACGGTACATAGTGCAGTTCTGCTGCTGAAGCTAAGCTGGAGTGATACAGTGCTGCCTGGGTGAGAGGCCACCTTTACATACGACAGAGGAGGAGTGGGATACAAATGAGTTACATGTCACACAGAAATTCCTTTCTGAATCAAGGAGATATCCTGCTGTGATGGGTTCTGAAGGGCAAGGGGAATGTCATGCTGTACATATCATGAGCAGTCCGTGTACCTGTACACATATACATACTGCAATCCACTCAAACACATAGAATGCAGTAGTACTTTGAATGTCGAGTCTTACTCTGTTGGTGGTTTAACACAAAGGGTCCCCAAGTCCCGGTCCATGACCTGGCACCAGTCCGTGGCCTAGGGAGGACTGGGCCGCAGACACAGATCTCCTATGTCTTTTGTGAATTACAGGTCGTTTTGTTAGATGCTTAGTGTGATACTTTCTCTTTTACAGCTTAGCTTAATGTGCATTTGATTAACTAGGTTTGCTGAAATTCTGTTGCTTGGCATAGAAACCCTGTTTGCATCAATGAACCAAATCCCCACTGATTCAGTAAGGTTACTCTAGTGCTACATTATGCTAAGCAAACTTCAGCATACAATCACTTTTAATGGGTTTTGGGTTCATTAATGTCAAAATCAAGTGATTTTTATTACTAAGAAATACCAGGCTAAACAAAAATAAAAAGACAAAAGTGTTGTGTCACCTTAAAGATTTAACTGATAACTTTAATGTGAGCTTTCATAGACAAATATACTTCAGACATAAGAATGGGATTATATAGCAAATATTTACACATGGGACCATAGCTAGAAGAGACTGTATTTTTCTGGGCTCATATTGTTGATAGTGTGCCATTTCACACCTGGCAGTGACATTTAAGACCCCTGTTGATATTCAGTTCCCCCAGGAAGCATTGTTTTGTAAACAATGTTGATGGCAAAATTAATCCCAGGCTGTATATAAGAAGCAGGAACAATCTTGTAATTATCTCTTATCACCAAAGGGGCTTGTGAGATGGCACTGGTAGATAGAACACAATATTTTACATTTGATAATGGCCTAAGAAATATTGACTTATATTGAGTCCATCGAGATGGGGTTTAAACATATGTATATATTTTATCTCAGCTGTCTCTGGATTCTTATACATTTTCTTTAGATTGGAAACTTTCAGACCTTATAAAGAGTGTCGGCTCTTCCTGCTTTTTCTCAATTTATTTCTAGGTTTGTGGGTCCCCCCCTCCTTTCTCTGCAATTCAGGTCTAGAAAGGGCAAAGGATGCCACACAGACATCCAGCTGGATGATGCAAGAAGGATGTCATGATAAACTAGATAGTTGGCCTTGCCATTTTTGTTCCGGATCTGAGAGCAGTTTTGGAACAAGGCTCTTCATAGATAGCAGTTTAAGGTTTCTGCTTGTTCTGGAATCAAGAAAAACGGCTTTTGAAGTGACAAGGTAAAAAACGCATCAAAAGGGATAAAGAAAACTAAGAAATGTGTTGGGTACATTGAATCAACCAAAAGAGCTGGGGAAATTGCCTAGCTGTTCAACTGCATAAAGGGCCACTAGATGGCAGTAAAATTCTGGTTAGATTCTGCTCAGTCTTCTAAAGATAATTGTCTTCTAGTAATTTAAGGCACCTCATGGATTTGCCTTAACTATATTCTTGCAGTTATGTTTGTTGAGAAGAAAAATCAAGACCGAAGACTCTTTAAAAATGTCTATTTGCTGTTTCTGATAAAATCATCTGTACACACTAAGAACTTGATTCAGCCTCTATATGCTTCCTGTGCATGAAGATAGGAGTCACTGGGCCCTCACACCTTATACAGTGGTGCCTCGCACAGTGAGGTTAATCCATTCTGGATTAACCCTCGCTGTGTGAAAACATCACTGAGCGGGGCAGAAAAGCCCATTGGAACGCATTAAACAGTGTTTAATGCGTTCCAATCGGCTGCTGTTCTCACCATTCAGCGATGTTCCTCTATGGCCGGCAGCCATTTTTGCGCCCTCCCCTCGCTTAACGAGGGCCCGAAAACGCTGCGTGTGGCCATTATGCGGCTTCCGGCGGCCATTTTGTAGCCGCTGAACAGCTGATCGGCGGGTCGCAAAGCGAAGCTTACCGACCTTCGCTCTGCGATTTTTTCCCTATTGAGGCACCAAATGTGATCGCAAAACCAGCCTCGTAGAGCGAATTCATCGCTCTACGAGGCGTCCGTTGTGCAAGGCACCACTGTATTTTTGACACGTGGCTAACAGGTCTCCATGGTCTGGGCCAGGAATTGGGTATAAGCAATGGACCTGTCAGATTTGGCTAGAGGCGGTGGGAAAAGCAGATGAATAATGAAAACTCTTTAACACATAGTAGCATTTTAGCCCAGAGATGTCTAAAGATGCAAAAATAGGGATTTAGCAGAGATGCATACTAGAAAGCAAAACTGACTGATACAATGTAAGTGAATGCTGAAAGGGCTAATGAGTTTGGCACCGAATCAAAAGTCTCACAACCTATGGCAGCTTTTTCAGAGGGTGTTAGGCAGCCTCGTCCTTTGTTCCATTTTCTTCATCTCTTCTGCTCTGAAACCAGAGCAAGGCACCTGTGTTTTTAACAAAGTAAAAATGCACGATCTATTAAGGCTTTTGCCTTAATTGGGTTAATTGCCTTAATTGGGTTGGCTTAATGACACTGATTTAGGTGGGTTTGGGACGCTGGCACATGGCAGTAAAATTTTAAAACTGTTAAAATGAAACCGTCTTTGAAATTCAATAAATTGGAGCTAAATGAGAGTAAAAATACTTAGCATGTGGCAGGCAGTCTGCCAGGTTGTGGGTCAAACCCCTACACATGCTGATAGCAGATGGGTCTGATTCAGACTAACAGTACAAAAGGGGTTTGCAGCAGATTCAGTGACACATTTTTTTATTCTTAAACTACCATATTCCTGTTAAGAGACTGTTCTAGCATAAGACAGTGCATATGACTCTTGCCCTCCTTTTTTTCAAGATGGAAGATTTTTCTGTCTTAGATGTATGTACATACTGTACTTTCTATGTATATGAGCAGGGAAAATCACAGGCCATTTAGAATTAAAGCTACAATTCCATAGAAACAACTTGGGAGAGAATCTTACTGACTGGTATAGCTTACTTTTCAGCAGATATGTATAGGGTTATGCTGCAGGTCTCCTAAAATTGTGCCTATCATCATAATGATTTTTAGATTTAATGAGTGTTTACTTGCAATCAAAGCTGGTATAGTTTTAATGTTAATATTAATGTTAAAAATACAGTAGTTCAAAGACATCTTCATCGTGGTCACACAAAGAAACGAAGCACCTGCACTAGCACTCTCACGAAACCTTCCAGAGTTTTCCCTTCTTGCACATGCTCCTCCCATTTACTTTAGGCCCCTTTTGTCTGCTATGACAGTGACATTCACAGTTCATTTGGAGATCAAAGAACCATAAAAGGTTTCTGTAAATAGCCTCTAAATTTACCATTACCTATCTTCCTCATTTTCTGATTTTAACCTGAAAAAAAAAGTTACATTGCTGTCTCCTCCCCTTTTTCCTTAACTGGTGGTTTAATCTTAATGGTTTATGGCCTCAGCTCCTTTAATGAAATACAGTGGACCCTCTACTTACGGAATTAAACCGTATTGGAACAGTGGCTGCAAGTCGAAAAGTCTGTAGGTTGAATCTCCATTGACCTACAATGAAAACCAATTAATCCCATAACTGGCAGTTTTCATTCTATTTTTGTTCCATTTTGGTTTTTTTCTGGTCCGTAAGTCGATTCTCCAGCTGCAAGTCGAATCTAAATTTTGCGACCAGAGAAGTCTGTAACTCGAAAAGTCTGTAAGTCGAGCCGTCTGTAAGTCGAGGGTCCACTGTATTGTTCTGGCTTTGGAGCAAAATACCTCAAGCAGATGGACAAGTCCATGTTTATGTTATTTAGGTGAAGCTCATTTCGTTAAAACACGTGATCTGCAGAGGATTTACTAAATTGACTTTGAAAAATCATCAGGCTTCTTTAAGATCTTATCTGTGGGAAAAATCCTTAAAAGCGGCAGACTCCCTAAAAAAGAATACTACGGCTAGGCAGTCAACATCAAAACAAGGCACTGAAAGTGAGTACAAGATCATCAAAAACTTAACAGACCAGTTAATTATAATCACTTAATGAGAGTAGGTTTGCTAGTCCAGGTTTGCTACAGATTACTCATTCCTTTTCCACCTAAAGGAATTAAGTTTGTCAATTTCATCTTTGAAAGTCTACTTAACAGCAGTAGTTTTAGAAGAGATAAAAGTAGCCATGTTAGTCTGTGCTAGTGTATCAGGCAAAATCCAAAAAAGCAAAGGAAAAAAATGAAATGTGGCACCTTGAACACGCATATTTTAAGATGAGTGTTCATGGACTTGTCCATGAAAGCTCACGTGAAAATATAATAGTCTTTTAAGGTGCCACATCTTTTTGTCTTGTTTTGTCTTGTCTTGTTTAACAGCAATAATGGCTCATCAACCACAAAATCATCAATCTTGACTGCTTTTCCAAGATTGTTGCTAATAAATTTAAGCATCTTGGTCTGTGTCTTTGGTGTTGATTAGAAATATGGGTTTTGTATTTTAATTTATCCAAGAGTAAGTGGGTTTAGAAAAATGTTCAAACTCTTTGTATGTTATCAGGGTTCTAAAAAAGGCTTTCCAGTATCTTCAAAGTGTTTCTCAAGATAGGTGATTACAGTTTTACAATAAGAATGGCCTATGGTATTGCAGAAGTAAATGCCATGAAACTTCAAGGATTATTCAACTAGATTAATGGCTTCTTCAACAGCCTTAATGAGTGGAGCTGATAAGCAAAACATTTGCAGAGCAGCAATATAGTCTCAACCCTCTCATGTGTAGATCATTACAGACTTGATCTGAGGGCTCAGAAG